GTTGTTGTTGTTTTGTTGTTGTTGTTGTTGTTGTTGTTGTTGTTGTTGTTGTTGTTTTGTTGTTGTTGTTGTTGTTGTTGTTGTTGTTGTTGTTGTTGTTTTGTTGTTGTTGTTGTTGTTGTTGTTGTTGTTGTTTGTTTTGTCTTTTGTTCTTGGTTTTGTTTTTGTTGTTTTTTGGTATGGTCCTTTAACCTTGGAGAGACTTTGCCTACGTGGGTCTCCTAATTGTCATTTATACATAAATCTAAGTCATGCTGATGTCAAAATCAATTGCCAAAGACAAATTTATTGTATCAAAAAATTTGTAATAAACAATATGCCTATTCTCCCAAGTGCTTCAAGCAGGCAGGAATCATCAAGACCATCACGTAGGGGCCTACATAATCCAACATGATACAAGATATACCACTCCATCACAATAACCTGTTCTTGGTGTGCACAAGGCAAGAGCGATAAATCTACACATCCTCACGATTACTCAATTAATCATGACATCAGCTGACAACAATTATTATTGCATTGTTCGCTGATGATAAGAGTTCAGTTTCCACGGGGGGAGCGGGGGTGGGGGTGGGGGTGGGGATGGAGAGAAAAGGGGGATGGAGAGAGAAAGTTATTCGGAGTCATTATCAAGATATTGAAAGAATTGCATTTGAAAAAGCTTGACATGTTGTGAAACTCAATTTTTTTAAAGTCAAATTGCTCCAAGCGAGGTACTAAACAGATGGAACTTAGTAATTGGTCGCTTTTAAGGACAAGCCGGCTAACCCAGATTTTGGGGCTTTCCAGAAATCTTGACCTACAGCAAAAGTTGGCATTGCCCTACCTATAGGAGAGGTTTAGTTTCATTGGTATATTTGGTTATAGAGAAAACTTTCCTTGTCTTTTAAAGAAACTGACCAAGGGGGAAAAAAACTTTACCTTCGATATTCTCAAAACAGCATTTTTTGGGATAGCCCTCTTGTGCTTAAAAGCGACCAATTTTAAGGTAGCGCTCTGTCTCAGGAAAAGACGCAAAGGGATATTATGTGGTCGGTGTCCCTTGCAAACATAGTGATGACGTTAGGTTGATCATTAGCATTCATCTGCGCAGTAAGGAAATCAATACCCTGCGCGCGTGTGTGTGTGTGTGTGTGTGTGTGTGTGT